CTATTCCTGTGACACTTTTTCTAGTCACGAGAGTGTCCCCCTAGATGAACGTTCGTACTACTTTCTTTGCAGACTTTAAAACTAAAATACAGGATGTTACCTTCATGTAGATTCTTTTTTTGCTTGACATACTTACGCTTGAGATTAAGAATTGGAAATATCTTCTTTTGTTAACTTTTGTGTGTTTATTATTATTATTATTATCATTATCATAATTATTTCTATATTACTTTTTTATGCAGTCTCAGCTCGAAGATACTAGCTTGTTAGCTACTCTAAAACTCGCGTATAAATAAAGTTTATGTATGTATGTATGTTCTGTTGTAATTCCACTTACAACCATTAACTAGTTTAATATGTGTATTGCTGGTCGATGGTCTTAGTTATTCTTGCAACCTTTTTGTTTGTCTAAGTAGCGATGACTGCACAAGTAATAACATTTTATGATTTAACGAATTCTCACTCGTCTCTGTCCACAGGTTTGTCCAATGAGCTGTATGATTGGTCAGCAGCAAACGCCATAGCACTGACAGTGTTCTCAAATAGGTTATCGCTAACGTTCAGCTATGAAAAAAAAAAAAGGGAAAGCGGTCAGCGTCAACAAGAGGGTCTCGCTAATTGACATTGTATCTAACAGGAAGATTTTTTGTCATATGAGCAGAAACTGCTTTTTCCCAATTACACCTTTGTTAAATTATATAGAATATTATAACTATGTAAAAAAGTCTGTCGCGGCTTTTTCTGTGACATAATATCAGATACATCCAGGACATAACTTGGACTCTAATTCGACCAAGAACAACTTACTCCTTTCAGCGTAGCAGCAAGCTTTGACGGGTCTTTGATGTAGCTTGGGTAACCTATGTCTTCGGCAATAGCATTGGCCTGCAAAGGATAAAGACTGTTACTTTGAAAATAGGAGCTTTAGCGTCAGAATGAGCTTTAAAAGGCACAATATGGCGCATCTCATCTGAGGCCTTTTTCACCTGGTGGTACGTGCTAGTATCTTCAGCAAATTACTTTATATTTTTAAGAGAACGCTGCGGTCCCAGATATTGTTTTCTTTACCCCACTTAAAAACACTGACTGCCAGACACTGGGAAATTTGTTAAGTTGAGTCATTCCTTACATCATGCTTCCGAACCTTACAAAAATATCTTCATCTTGTGGGAGCCTTGGGAATATGACTTAAGAAAGTTAGAAAGGCGATAAAATTAATAGATAAAAAACCAAGAAGCAACAAGGATGGCTGAAGATGGATAGACCGCTTTTCGATGGACTGTACTAAAACCAAAACCAAACTTAACACAACAGCCGATCAGGATGAACCACTTAGAACTCAAAGTAAAAACAACCAAACTGCCTAAAGCGCGCGAAAACAACCAAACTGCCTGAAGCGCGGAAAACAACCAAACTGCCTAAAGCGCGAAAACAACCAAACTCCCTAAAGCGCGCGAAAACGCTCGCGACCAAGTCGTGATTGGTTTTAGTTTTGCATCTGATTGGTTGAGAAAGAAGTGCGAGTTTTCTGGACCAATAAGAGCGAAGAAAAGCAAAACCAAGGCGAACCGTGATCACTTACGACACTCAATTGAATAAAACGAATAAAACAAATTGGAAATGACCAACTTGACCATTTAAAACTAATTCGTAACCCAGATCCTACAACTTCAATAACTTTCCACCTTCTCTTTCGCCTTTGCCTTCGTTGCGTCTGACATCCAAGGAAGAGCATTAACACTCTTTATAAACTCATCTTTCATCAGTCGGGTCATTTGCGTTATCTAGAAGAAGTGACAATCAAGTTTACAAGTTTATTATTATTATTATTATTATTATTTTTATTATTATCCGACAGTTGTAAAAACTTATGTTTGCCATAAGATCATACACAGACTGGGGACTGGGGCGATAAACGTGGCCCAGGCTGCGCGTAGGTATAGAATCTTCCTAAACTTTGAAAACGTAAATAAATAAATAAATAAATAAATAAAAATCGAATAATAATAATTATTATTAAATATTAATTAAATTGTTATTATTATTTCATTGTTATTAAATATTTAATTGATATTAAATTTTTTGGAATGTTGAGCATGGCTCGTTCGATCACGCCGCTTGTATTTACAACTACGGGAGGGATGGGGAGGGAATGCATAAGATACCACAGCCTATTGGCCGAGCTGATAGACGCCAAGAAAGGGAACGATACTCCCAAACAATTTCCTGGATCCGAGCAAAG